TTTTAGTTAGAATGTGAATAATCGAAAATGCAAATTAAACACGGGCACGTAAGTACAGCCACATTGTTTCATCAAACCCCTGTGTATGCATTACGATTTTTTTTTTACGATTGAGAACCAAAGGGCTGCAGCAAAGGTTAAGAACCACTGTCTTTGAATTACCTCTGAAATCTCGATTTAAAGCTTTCGTGACTGCAGGGATTCATCTTCTTGGTTCTTTCGGTAAAGTCACGTAGAAGGGAAATAATAAAATAATAAAAATCAAACATAATAAAATGCAATTCTCACGACGTTTCGGCCACAACGCAAGCAGCCGTCCTCAGGTGAAGAATAGGTCTGTCGGAAAGACAGTGTCTGAAATGAGGACGGCTGCTTGCGTTGTGGCCGAAACGTCGTGAGAATTGTATTTTATTATGTTTTTTATTTTTTATTTTATTATTTCCCCTTCTACGTGACTTTACCGAAAGAAACAAGAAGATACCTCTGAAATCATTGTGTTGTTATCCACAGGATGAACAAAACCTTTTTAATTCCCTGAAAAGAAGCTCCATTGCCTCTCCAATAACACACCATTATTCGTATTGTTATATTTCAGCAATAGAATGCATGTACATCAACGCAAGCGGAAAAGCAAAAGGCTGCCTGATTCCTGTGTTTGAGCATTCATTGGTAAACCGGGCTGAGACCATCAATTTGCTCCAAGATATAATCACCCCCTGGAGCCACGCATGCCACTACCTCACTACGTCTTCTTGGGTGGCTGTCATCTACTCGAAGCGGGCGAATTAACTAGAATATACATCATTATTAATGTTTATTATTAATTAGAATGATTATATCATGACAAGGTTGGTCATATTGTTTGGTTCTTTCGGTAAAGTCACGTAGGTAAAAAATAAAAATATCTATTAAAAAAAATGAAATAAAAAATAAATAAAAGTAAATTAAATCACGACGTTTCGATTGCAACACAAGCAATCCTCATCAGGTGTGAAAATCACAGCTGTGAAAATGTATTTTCACAGCTGTGATTTTCTATTTTTTTAATTAGCATTTTATACTCACGTGACTTTACCGAAAGAACCAAAGAGTATGGATCCTTGCAGTCACAAAAACTTCAAATCTAGAATGAAGGTTGGTCATGTGTACATTTTTGTCCACAATTACCGCACAAATGTGTGGAGTAATTTAAATAAACCCTAATTGCAATAGGTTTGAGATCTAACGAGTTTATGAATTAAATATAAAGTGTAGCAAAAGGGCATACATACCTGTCAACCCCTTATCAGTGCCCTACCTTATTACAGACAAATTCAGACCGTATTGGTCGTGCCCTGATAAATCTCAACGTTCATCCTACAGTCCAACCACAAGGGAGAACACAAACAAATAGACAAAAAAACATTGTTTTGCCCGTATTGAAACAGCTATACGCCGTATCGACCTGTACAACATTACGGGGTAAACCATATCGCTTGACAGGTAGGTTAGGTGATGGCAAGTTTGTCCATGTGTGAATTTTTGTCCACATTTACCGCACAAATGTGGTGGAGTAATTGCAATACACCCAAACTGCAACAGGTTCAAGACCTAGACGATGACACTAAATCTAAAAAAGTGTAGCAAAAAGGAGCGTGTTTAACGTAAGCGTTGCTTGTGCATGTTGTGATATTTAATATTAGCATCCACAACTCCCTGCCTTTGTCCATTGGGAAATTAAATGACACCCTTCCCCGTACGGATAAAAAAAAAGCCGGCAGTTAAGGAACCGTGGCAAACTAATGCGGTGAAAAACGAAAAAAAACCGTGAGTCCTGTCACCTAGCATTGCAGGGTACTTCTAAAACAAATGAGAACACTTCTGAAAATTTGCAACAATACCACGAGAAATCTGCCGCCGGGCTCTGGAGACCAGCTGGAGACGATTGCAGGGCTGTTGTTGACAATGATGGCGAACAAGTGGAGATTCGTTGAGTTGTTGAAACTATTAACATACAATTTTTTATCATGTTATAGTGTATTATCTGTTCTTTTTCAATTAAAAACGATCGTTCCATATATGTCTTACATTTTTTTGAAGCACCCTGTATAATAAATTCAGTATCGGTACAGTGATATTTTTGTGGGCAACTTTTTATACTGCATGTGTTTGCTTACATGGAGCAAAATGATACCGGACGTTGAACTTGTCAAATGCGAGATTCAATTGACAGTAAACTCGTGGCCTTAGGTCGTGTCTGTGCGCTAGCTGGGTGAAATGGCCAACCTCTTTTGGGATGAATCACGCCGTAGCTTCATGTCGCTAGAGGGGTATAATAATAAGATCAAGAGGTCAACGAATTCAATGTGTATTATTGGTTCTTTCGGTAAAGTCACGTAGAATGGAAATAATACAATAATAAAGATATAAAACAATAAAAATTCTCACGACGTTTCGACTGCAACACAAGCAATCATCATCAGGTGTGAAATCCACAGAAAGATAATTTTAAAAAAAATTGTATTGCTGTGGATGATTGCTTGTGTTGCAGTTGAAACATCGTGAGCATTTGTATTATAGTAGGTTTTTACCCTTTTAACTGGTACAAAACTGACACCTTTATAGGTGTCAGTTTTGTACCAGTTAAAAGGGTAAAAACCTACTATTATATTTTGCCACTGGTAAAAGAGATCTCATAGCATTTGTATTGTTTCATCTTTTTATTATTTTATTATTTCCCTTCTACGTGACTTTACCGAAAGAACCAAGAATATGAATCCCTGCAGTCACGAAAGCTTTAAATCAGAATTCAATGTGGTTGAGACCACGCCCAGCTATTCCTTCCTTCCTTCTGCCAAGTTCCTGAGCTGTTACAGTCGACCACAATTGCCACTGAGGATCACTCTTTGAGAATCATCATTACTACCATCATCTGGGTACCAATCCATTACCTGTCTGGGTAAACTTGCACACAACAATGTTTGCAGTAATAAATGTCGTCTCCATCGACCAGGCATTCCTGGCGAATGAGACTTTGAAAATAATGATTGGCTCTCACCTGCTTCAGTTTAGGACACAGTCCGGTACTTCATATCACATTTCTCTTCCCTGAACCAAATCCCTGAACCTCCTTTTCCCTGAACGAAGTACTTAATATTTTTATTCTTGGTTCTTTCGGTAAAGTAAAGTAGAAGGGAAATAATAAAAATAAAACAATACAATTCTCACGACGTTTCTATTGCAACACAAGCAATCGTCATCAGGTGTGAAAACCATGGCAAGAAAATTTGAAAGAACCAAGAAGATGAATCCCTGCAGTCACGAAAACTTTAAATCGAAATTTACTTCATATTTATGAACATTAAAGGGTTTTGGAAAAGTCAATTACAAATCTTTGTAATCACTTTGAAAAATACACGTCTCATTGAAGACGAAATTTCTAAAAAGTTAAAATGTTAGTGGAGTTTGTTAATAAATTACTTCAGGACACAGTCAATGAAACAAATGTGGGATATTTCATTACTTATGTGTAACATGAACGGCCTTTTTGTCTTCTTGGTTCTTTCCCCTCGCTTCTGAATTACAGCCTCCCCAAACCATTCGGGTAATGGGGTGGTTGTTTGACCATACTTCACCACGCTAGTCAATGCTGGGTTGCTTTAACCAAATGCTCGTGTAACTACCAGATGTCCATCGGAGAGGCCCTCTCTGTTAGATATGAACATTGGTTCAAGCCAGCTTGACTGCTTATGAGACGCTGAATGTCAAAACCGGTCCAGAATTTGTTTCTGAAAAAAAGTTAAGAATAGGTTTTACCCTATTTACCCTTTCGGGCAACAACAAAAACCCACAATATTGCCAGAAAGGGTAAAACCTATTTTTATTCTTATTTTTCACACTTTGATACTGGCAAAAAGGTCCCAATTTGTTTCTGTTGACCCAAATAGGCGAAAATAATGTCCCCCCCCCCCATCACCCGCCAGAAGACCAGCTCGTGCGAAGGAGACGTAGTCGAAACGTCGTACTCGAATTGTAAACGCTGTAGGTTTGCTCTCCAACGCACCGCTGTGCTGAAATAGTCACGAATTGTCACGTTCTGTTGACGCGAAAAACCTCGCTAATTGGCGGCGTCGGGTGGTGGCGGGTTAAACGACACATTTATATATTAACGCGATCTGTCCCCTAAAAAAACAACACATTTAGTAAGTAGACGGTGGCCCGCTCATCTATTTTTAAATCCTTTATATTAAGTTCGCTTGCTTGCTTACGTGTTTGCGCGCTTGCTTATGACCGTGCAAATCTTTCGGTCGTTTTTAAACCCACTTCCCGTGATCCAATCGAGCTGACATTTTGCACACAGACTCGTTGTGCGAGACAATTAATGTTCGTGAAAATTTTTTTCCTAAATTTTACACTGTTTAGGGAAAACAAATTAAATATTTAATTACCAATTGTTTAATACTGGCAGACAATCATCTGACCCATAGGTGGCAGCCATCTCAAGCCAGAGGACGAGAGGACTCTAGCCGCCACGCATATAAAGGATTTAAAAACTTTGTTTTTAAATCCTTTATATTAAGTTCACTTGCTTGCTTGCTTGCGCGCTTACGACCGTGCAAATCTTTCGGTCGTTTTTTAACCCACTTCCCGTGATCCAATCGAGCTGACATTTTGCACACAGACTCGTTGTGCGTGACAATTTATTTTCGTGAAACTTTTTTTCTCCAAAATTTCCCACTTGTTAGGAATTTTTTTTTAATATTTAATTTAAAATACCAATGTGATAAAAATGAAACTCTTACTCAAGAAAAACAGAAATGAATAATAAAATAAAACCGATGCCACGCATATGAAGGATTTATAGTGAAAAACTTTGTTTTTACGGGTTAAACTTATTATTTCGCTGCACTGCCCTCTGCTGCCCATCACCTGCAAAGCCCTTCGCTTGAGAATGCGGCCGACGGAGCAAATCACCGCGGTCCCTAAAGTCTCCCACCCGCCTCCATTCATCCTCCTGCTCGCGTCGCCGTCCGTCGCTAAGGACCCGGACCCCGAGACTCTGAGTCTCTGGGACTCTGAGACTCTGAGTCCACGAGACTCTGGGACTCTGGGACTCTGAGACCTCTGAGACTCCGAGTCCACGAGACTCTGGGACTCTGGGACTCTGGGACCCTGAGACTCCGAGTCCACGAGACTCTGGGACTCTGGGACCCTGAGACTCCGAGTCCATGAGACTCTGGGACTCTGGGACTCTGAGACTCTGGGACTCTGGGACCCTGAGACTCCGAGTCCATGAGACTCTGGGACTCTGGGACTCTGAGACTCTGGGACTCTGGGACCCTGAGACTCTGGGACTCTGGGACTCTGAGACTGCAGGACCCCGAGACTGCGGGGACCCAGAGACTATCGGAGACCCAAGGCTGCGGGACCCCTGGTACCCCGATGATCCCTGACTGCGGGACGGACTGACCGACGAGCGACACATACGGACGGACGATCAGTCAGACGGACTGACTGACGAACAGACTGACTCACTAACAGACTGACTCACTAACAGACTGACTGACTAACAAACAGACAGACTGACTGACTAACAGACTGACTGACTAACAACAGACGGACAGGAGGACAGACTGACTTGACAGACTGACTGACAGACTGACTCACTAACAAACAGACTGGCGAACAGACTGACTTGACAGACTGACTTGACAGACTGACTAACAACAGACTAACTGACTGACGAACAGACTGACTCACTAACAGACTGACTCACTAACAGACTGACTGACTAACAAACAGACAGACTGACTGACTAACAGACTGACTGACTAACAACAGACGGACAGGAGGACAGACTGACTTGACAGACTGACTGACAGACTGACTCACTAACAAACAGACTGGCGAGCAGACTGACTGACAGACTGACTCACTAACAGACTGACAGACGAACAGACTGACAGACTGACTAACAGACTGACTGACAGACTGACTCACTAACAGACTGACTGAACAGACTGACTAACAACAGACTGACTGACAGACTGACTCACTAATAAACAGACTGGCGAACAGACTGACTGACATACTGACTGACAGACTGACTCACTAATAGACTGACTGACAGACGAACAGACTGACAGACAGACTGACTCACTAACAGACTGACTCACTAACAGACTGACAGACTGACAGACTAACAGACTGACTGACAGACTGACTCACTAACAGACTGACTGAACAGACTGACTAACAACAGACTGACTGACAGACGAACAGACTGACTAATAGACTGACTGACTAACAACAGACTGACTCACTAACAACTGACTGACGCATGAACTCTTGTGAGCTGCAGGTACAATCCCATATTCGCCGACACACATTTCGGCAGGTAGATTTTTTAAAGTTATCTATGAATATCATTCAAACACGATGTATATACACGCTTGTTAAGTCACTGAGCCTGAAGAGTATGTTGTGTATGTTCGAGCTCGTTTGCAGGCTGATGAAGTGTACCCCTGTATGTGATGCTACTCACTCCTGCGGTATATGGGGGGAGGAGCGGTGGCGCAGTGGTTAGCGCAATGCGCGTATTGACCACCCATGACCGACACGAAGTAGGTCTCTTCATCCAGCAGTGGATTGACATAGAGGCTGTGCATTGTACAACTCCGCAAAGAGTGTTACACGCTCGCCTCTGACGGGCATCTGTGTATTCGCAAGACAAGCGTACTGCAGCAACGTCCGTGCATTTGTTCAACGCAGGCCTTGTGCTGTGAACGAGGGCACGTGCCCGAAACGTCGCCTGTTAAATACAACTGTCTATATTTTAAGACGGTGTTGCAGACGAGTGCGTTGGGTTTTCGGCGTTGATTTGCGGTGCCAATGTTCCCACACCGAGGTGCCAGTGTCCACCATTGGTATCGGTGTCTCGTTAGGAATCTGACACTGGTGAACTGAGATCTTCGGCTAAGGCTGCTGCTGCTGCTGCCACCTTGATGCCCTTTATGAGCCACGGGTTCACTGGAAGTGATCATCGCTGCCAGTCGCATCCCTGTCAACCCCTTATGAGTGCTCTCTACCTGATATAATGCAGACCAATGCGGACCTTATGGGTCATCCCATGCCCTTAAAATTCTCAACTTTCATCCTACAAAGAAGTCTCATCACAAGGGAGAAGCACAAACAAATAGACATTTCGTTTGCCCGTATTGAAACGGCTGTACGACGTATGGACCTGAAAACTCAATTTCCCTGGACAAGAATACGGGGTCAAACCGCGTGGGTTGACACGGTGCGTGTCTCTGTCACTTTTCTGTGCTGTATGTTTTTTATTGCAGCACCGTAACGACAAGAGGAGGCCCGGCACACATCAACGACAGCTCTGTGGCGCCCCCTGACTCACCACGCGTGGAACAGAGAGGTTTGTCATCCTGCACTGTAAGCCCCCCCCCCCCCATAGGTCACATGAACTGATTATTATTACAATTGTAAATTTTCGGGGGGATGGATGGAGGGAGGGAGGGGGGGATAATTGCCATGTATATTCCAATTTCAAATTTGGGACCCAGACTCCAGCACACAATGGCCTAACTCTTACTTTTTGATTAATGCAACCACCGCAGTATTAACCGGGGTGGCCGCTGGAAATTAAAACCGTGAGCATCTGCAACGAGCGGCAAACGGCGATACCACAAGGCCACCTGATAGCACTCACTGGCCCTTAATTTCATGATCAGAGCTGGGATGTCAGATGATTTACGTCTGTGATTATGCTACCGATTATATTATCGGTTATATTGCTCGACTCTTGGGTAATGCGAAAATAATTTGGGGGAGGCAGGGGGGTGGGGGTGAGTATCACCTCTCTTTCCGATGGGAGATAATCGGCGGGGCATGGTCGATAACATCGACTTCATCAACTCTAGTTTTCCAGCTCTAATCATTATCAAAGCTGCCTGTTATTGTCTATCCAATGCTGGATGAAGGTGTCCCCCCCCATACTGTTATCGTTTATTGTTCCGTGATGCCGCATTCCTCATTGCGGCCACGCTTACTGATCTAAAAACCCACCATCTCCGTGGTCGTTGTACTCGTGGGTGCGTTCCTCTCCTTCAGCTACTATTTTGTCACCAGTCTTGTTGGTTGGGCATCAAGTCCCTTCAAGTACCGTGTTTTGCGCAAGCCCATTGACTTACTTACTGTGCTGTATAATGTGCTCATCGCTCGTTAGACTGGCATGGCTTAGCAGATATGCTGCCAAGTGTTTTCTAAAAGGCGATGCTTTGGATGTGCGATTCTCACGCTGGTTGTGGTTGAAGCTGATAAATGCATACATCCGAGCAGCTGAATGCTGCGAGCTGTGTAGTACCTGCACCACCGTTTCGCTAAATCACACCAATCGGCACGTCTGTCCTTCTACTCAATTACAGCTTGTCCTGCATGCTCCGTGAAATTTCTGTAGCAACCTTTCATGCCACAGTGCATCCCTAAAAGCATTGCCAAGGAATTGTAATCTGCTACCCGTTAGATTGGATTGGCTTGCCCCTAGATAGTTATTAAATTCATTCACTGCACACAGTGGTATAGGCATACTTTGTTGCGCATGAGAGCATTAATTTTATTGGCCATACTTTTTAGATTCCCTGCAGACACGATAGTGTGGATCTCCTCATTAAAGTATATACACTGTGCTGTGTAGGTGTGCATATAATACATAATTCATTAATTGCCCTTAAGCTGTAGGCTCTTTGCAGCATAGGTTGATTGATGATCGAGCACTCGCTGATTCACTGCAGTCAACTCACTCCCTGGCAGTCAGTCACCTCATTGTCACACTTCAAAATCTGCCACTGGTCGCTGTTCTCACAAACGTCTCATCCATACCACGTTCAACCCACTAACACTGCAGGTCACAACACTTCTCTTTTTTGCGATATCCGTCGCACTGATCGGCTTTGGAATGCCCTCCCACCATATCTTTACCCGAGTTCTTCAAACCGTGCTCCAGGAAACGTATTTTACTCGTAGCTATTCTACCTTCAGCGGTGATACTTTGTTACCGGCCACTCGGTGTTTTGAGCTTCAGGGTCTGTGCTCAGCAAACCTGAAAACATATTCTGCTCAGATTCATGACTCCCTCTCTTATCTTCACCTTTGCCAAATAAAGCCTTTGTGTAGCATGCAGAATGCAGTTTTTTTGCACGATATTTTGCTTATTGTTGCCTGTCATCAGCTATGGACCATTTAGAAAATATATATAAATAAAAACATGATTGCATCTTAAGTGTCAAAGCTCTACAGATTAATGTGCCAGTCTCCGTGGTTGAAATTACACTGCACATAATGTTTGATGTATTTTGTGATGGACAGTTAATTAAGCGTTGGGGTTTTTTTTCTCCATTATTTTTTTTGAGACTGAAAACGGTGTCCTCACAAAGGCAAGCACGGAATTCTCCGCACATTTGATGCTCACAAATCCATAAATCTCTGGGGAATGTAAGCTATGTGACGCCAGGTGTGGCTGTTCTTCCAAAATCCTTTCTCAGCTCGATGTCATTGACAGATTAAAAGCGATTATCAGCAAGAAGTGAAAGCGTGAGTTGGGGATTTTAAACGTCTCATCTGTCCACCTTTAAGCTTTCACACTGCCAAAATCAATAGGCTGTATTGATATTTTAGAAATGTATACCCACTATCCAGTGCAGAGGGAATACTTGAGATGAGATTTTAAGATGGGTAGAATCCCATTATAAATTCAGTTTATCATCGATCTTTCAAGAGTAGTGTATTTTGTTTTGAGAACACGTCTGTTCGTGTATTCAGAAAAATATGCCTCTCTGGCATGCTCAACAGTTTCATAGTTTTTATTTTTTTGCATGAACACCATTGCAAGACGTTTGGCTTAGTATACATGTAAAGAACATTGCAACTTTAACCAGAAAACGTTATTAAATACAATACTGTTGTTATAGAAAAAAATATACTTCATTTTCTGTTCCTGGCTTTAACACAGCGGATGGTAATAATTTTTTTCCTAACTGACATACATTAGTAAAACTATTTTATTTCACCGCCAAGTTACAAAATTCTGAATATGTGCATTCTGTTTCTGTCTCCAATAATGTGTGTTGAGTGCAGAGTTGAACGGCATTTTGGACAATTGACTACCTCCCTCGCCAATGCAGGTTACTTTAGAGACAACTTGACCACGGTCACTGCTAAGAGTGCCTGCCAAAAAGAATGTTCAGCTATATACACACCGTGGCGCTTTTGCTTATGCAGTAGTTTTTAGTATCCAAGTATCCTGCCATCATTAGCAAGGTTGTTTTCCATCAACATTACTTTAATGTTGTAAATATTGTAGCAGTTTGTGAAGATGATTTATCAGCTTGCAGCTGGAATGGTCGATTTCGTTCACATCAAGTACAATTTAATATATTGTCAAACACTAAGGTGAACTCCCCTCGCTTTAGCTGCTCCAGTTATAATCCCATCATCACAAACATCTTAAAATGACTGCCATGGCTTCCATGAACTTAAGCCCATGAGCATCGCCCATTGTGTCGCCGCTGTAGACATCATCTCAATACCAAGTAGATAACAGCAGCGGCAAGGATCCCCGTCGACCATGAACGTGCCAATGCTTCTCAACGGCGTGCTTCTGCCGGTGCTGGCGGCCGTGCTCTGGCAATACGTGCGCGTGCACGAGCGCGCCAGCCAGGCGGAGGAAGAGCTGCGAGCCGCTCGCGCCAGCCCGCTGCTGTCGCCCGCCGACTACACCGCCGCGCTGCACGAGCTGCACGCCCTCGGCACCGCTGCCGTCTGCACCGGCAAGGTTCACACCGACCGCCTATGCCGCTTCCAGCGCCTCTGCTATTGGTCGGACGCCGACGAGTTCGTGTTTTTCCACGGGCCCGGCTCGGTGTCGCTGCCCAGCCTCGGCGCACGCCGATTCCAGCCGGCGCTCATGGATTTGTCGTCCGTCGACGATCACAACACGCAGTACTTCAATTTCGTCGACATGCCCGTGTCAGCCCTGGGCGACTTGCCCCAGCCCGTCTTCCTGTCCGACCCGGCGTTGATCTTCAACCGTTTCAACCCAGGCAACATCATGCACGTTCTTCACGACGATCTGCTCCCAGCTTTTTACACCTTGCGGCAATTTGGCGAGCTAGGCAATGATGCCAGGCTGGTCTTTTCTGAAGGCTGGTCGGAGGGTGCCCACTTCGACCTGTACATGTTGCTCACAGACCGTCGCCCGCTGCTCAGAGAAGACCTTGCCAGGCTAGGTCCATTAGTTTGCTTTCCGCGTGCGTACGTGGGTGTCAGTAAGCTGGTGACTTGGTACCAGTATGGCTTCACACAACCGCAGGGGCCTAAGCCCAATCTCCTGGTATCGGGAAATGAGGTCCGGCACTTTGCTGACTTCATCCGAGAGAGGCTGAACGTGTCCGTGCCAGAGTTCAACTTCAGTGAACAAAACAGCGCAAATTCAGGCTCTCAGGACAGTGACTGTGACAAAAATTCCAAGACTGAGTGCACCATTGCGTCCGGTGAGAAACCAGCAGAGACGAGTCCCAGCTCTCTCGGTTCTACCGCTGACCATGGGCAAAGGAGTAAAAGTGCAGAAAACAACCCTGCCGGCAATGCCGTGACCGGCCACTCGGTGGTTCTGTTCCGGCGGACACTGAACCGGCTGATCCTGAATGAAGCAGAGCTGATCGTGGCCCTGGCACAGGAGTTTTCCACGCGTGTGCTTGTCGTGTCTGAGGAGTCCCACTCCTTCCCCGAGCTGGTGCGAATTCTGAGTGGCGCGTCCGCCCTCGTGGGCGTCCACGGCTCCCACCTCGCCCTCGCCGCTTTCTTGCCGCAGGGAGCAGCGCTCGTCGAGGTTTTCCCGTACGGCGTGAATCCGACGCACTACACGCCGTACCGCACGCTCTGCGGCCTGCCGGGAATGGGACTGGTGTACGCGGCGTGGAGAAACGAGCGGCGCGCCGACTCGGTGGCGCACCCGCAGCGGTCGTGGGATGAGGGTGGCATCGCCCACCTGCCCCCGGCCGAGCAGGAGCGCATCGAACGCAGTGCCGAGGTGCCCCCTCACCTCTGCTGCCGCAATCCCGAGTGGCTCTACCGCATCTACCAAGTGAGTGCTTCATTGTCCAGAGCTGTTCTGTGGCTCTCTATGTGGCCACGGAAAATGTCAATTTTCTCTCGTGTCATTTGTGGGGGTGTTTGAATATAACATTTCCAATCAGTCTTGGGAACGAAAAATTGCAGTGAATGGGGCATGACCTTCTTACTGTGCAATATGTTGTCTTCTGCGTGTTGCCACTAGATGGCAGACCTGCCATTGATTAAAGATGGTAGTGCCCTTGCATAAGTGCACAAAAGAAGAAAACCGGACTGTTATTTATTTTTTGGCCTCTGAGAATCAAGCTGCAAAGTGGTGACAACTGTATGATTTGTGGCGATGTTTTTAAATTGGCAGAAGGGCTGCATTGAGGCAAACATGTATTGCCTGTGCATAGGAATTAGGTCAATATGACCCAACTAGAGCAAATCCAGTTTTGCTTCTGGTCTCCCATTAACATTTTGGAACCCAACAAACGCATTCTTTGAATACATTTTACTTTTCATTGATTATTGAATGAGGCATGCATCATTCATGCTCGCCTGTCACTAAAGTCATTCTCTCCTTGTGATGTTGGCTAAAGATGAAGCATCAACTGGCCTACAGCTTAAGTTGCCATCACAAATACAGCTGGCATTCTAAATTTAGCCATTCCACCCATTTGTCAACGTTTCCACACTTCATAACGTTGTCAACGTATTTCAATATCAGCGTCTACATTTGTGCAATTTACAGCTCAGAAATCACCAAACAATAAGATATAATTTCTTACCTAACAATTTATACGGTTCTTTTATGCTCCCACATCTATGCTCACCTCCCTTCACAAACCACACTGACGAGTGTGGTGAAGTATGGTCATAAAAAAAACCAACACCTGCATGGCAAGAGGAAGCTCTCATCTAGCAGTGGAATGACAAAATGGCCGTACATATACACGAACACCTTAAAATGTTAACACTACGCACTTGCCTGTCTTTTAACAAACACGTTTTTAACGTGCGACATGTGTGGAGAGTCGGGTTATTTCCTCGTGTGCTTACCAGTCACCACCTCCTCGGTTGAACGACCCTAACTAAAACCGGCATCCCGTCGTCCCGTCCAGGACACACGTGTCAACATCCCGTCCTTCCTGGCGACGGTACGAGCGGCGCTGGGTGACCGTCCTCCCTCCCCGAGCGATGCCCCCGCGGTTCCCGTTATGTTCCCGGGCCGCGTGAGGGCCGCTCGCTGCGAGGCTGTGAACCGGCAAGACGGCGGCTCCCAGGGGACAGCCACGAGCTCCGCAGCTGGCCTCCTCGTGTCGTGGGAACCACCGTGGAATCTGCCCTTTCTCAAAGTGCCCTCGGTATTTCCCCTTTCTCAGAGTTTTTTTTTCCCTTCTTCTCCTCCACGATATTTTAAGACCACCGTTGCTTTTCGATTTAAAGCTTTCGTGACTGCAGGGATTCATCTTCTTGGTTCTTTCGGTAAAGTCACGTAGAAGGGAAATAATAAAATAATAAAAATAAAACATAATAAAATAATTCTCACGACGTTTCGGCCACAACGCAAGCAGCCGTCCTCAGGTGAAGACTGCTTGCGTTGTGGCCGTAACGTCGTGAGAATTATTTTATTATGTTTTATTTGTATTATTTTATTATTTCCCTTCTACGTGACTTTACCGAAAGAACCAAGAAGATGAACCACTGTTGCTGTTGTGCATCGGTTGGATCCAGAGATCACCAGATGTGTTCGATCCCACGGTACGGCAGTTTAAACGATGGGCAGGGGTTTTATTTATTTTTGTACGATCTTAAAGGGGCATTTTCACGGGTTGACTGGATTCATGAGAATGAACATTACGGATGGATATTAGGTTGTGTTACTTGCCCATTGCTAGAACAACAGGCAACTTCACGAAATATCCCCCCCCCCCACCTGTCCACTCGGCAGTATGTATGTGTACGGCACAGTCGAACGACAGGTCGCATTCTAGATTTGAAGTTTTCGTGACTGCAAGGATCCATACTCTTTGGTTCTTTCGGTGAAGTCACGTAGGTGAAGAATATTAAATAAATCACGACGTTTCGATTGCAACACAAGCAATCATCATCAGGTGTGACAGGTCACATGTGGTGGGGTAAAGTGTGGGTACTCCCACCTCTTGAACATATCTAGCCAGCGTGGAAGAGTAGGCCAAATACTGTCTATATCATATTTCTATAGTTCACTGGAGGCCGTTATACCAGCAATAGTGTGAATGAGACAATTCAGTCCTGCACCTTTACCTTTTTATTGCTGTCATTGTAGGTGGCAGGTGTAGCAAAATACATTGTCGTACTGCACTACTATGCTCCTATGTCTATGCTGCCTGCCGACACCATCCCACATTGACGATTGTGGTGAAGGATGGCCCAGTAATAATGCAAATAAAGCGTACACTAAAGGATAACATCATTAATCAATAAGAATGGCTTTTATTCTGAACTACAATTCTGGTGCCCACAACGGAGCACAGCCTTTAACGAGCCGTGCGTACACGAGGGTCAACCGATCCCAGCATTATCCGGGCTCAAGATTTCAAATCTAAAACTAAATGTAACTTTGTACTCATAAGGTAAGGTCCACTGAACTATCTAGCTTCTTTTTCAGAAGTGACCTGGACCACAAATGGATGGCTCAACAAAGTGGCGTATCGCGTGGAAATTTCAAGCAGCCAAATACTTCAGACGCACGTTTTTAAATGGGGAGGAAAAAACCGGAGGGCCCGGCAGAAAAATCCACACGACCACAGGGAGAACATGCAAACTCCAAATATACATGCATCAGGGTCGGGATCGAACCTACGGCCTCCTGCACACCAGGCGAGGTTGTTAACATCTCGCCACCTGACGCGATCGGGGCACATGCTGGGCGATGTGGTCTTCGGTTTATCATCTACATGGCCTTTGTGTACTCTCTGCCTCTGACTCCATCCCACCCCACACCCCACCCCACCCCTCTGTTATTTCTGCCGCTCCCACACTCGCCGAACCCCGTAGCACGAGGTGCGTTACGAGGTGTGGATCCAGGAGCTGGGCGAGAACACGTACACGCCCTACATCCTGCCCGTCCTCAACCACACGTTCCGTGAGCACGTTCGCCCGCACGCCACCTACCATGTGTGGGTCCGGTGCCTGCTCGGGGAGGCCCTGCAGGGACCATTCGCGGAGGCCCTCGTCTGCAACGCCTGAGCAACGATGCAAGTTTCGATTTAAAGCTTTCGTGACTGCAGGGATTCATCTTCTTGGTTCTTTCGGTAAAGTCACGTAGAAGGAAAATAATAAAATAATAAAAATAAAACACAATAAAATAATTCTCACGACGTTTCGGCCGCAACGCAGACCTGTTCTCCGCCTGAAGACGGCTGCTTGCGTTGTGGCCGAAACGTCGTGAGAATTATTTTAAAATGTTTTATTTTTATTATTTTATTATTTTTCTTCTACGTGACTTTACCGAAAGAACCAAGAAAACGACGCAAGTTTTTCGCGCGGGCGGGCATCGCACGTCGGCGAGGGCTCGCGCGGGAGTGACGCGCGTCCGTGGGCGTTTGCGTCCGTGTGCATATATACCACCCGTGAAAACCGTCGCGTGGAAATAAAAATTCGTAAACAGCTCTTCTGCTATAATCGCACGTGCGCAGTACGGCGCCTTTCCGCCTTTCTAAATGGGTACACCGCAGTTGATTGGCAGGTTGTGTGTGGTATACTCCCAGCTGTATCAAAAACGTCTGGCCAGTGTGGATGAGGAGGCCAAAACATCCTCTGGGGGAGCTCCCCAGAGCTCCCTTTAAGCCAAGTCCGTTCTGCTGGCAGTGGCGTAAGGAAGCAATTCCCAGGCTGTATCTTTTTGTCAATTCACTTTTAGATGGCGACCTCCCCACACCATGCTGGGTCATGGGGGTTATTTGATCTTACTTCACTTCACAAGTCAGTGTGGGTTGGTGAAAGTGGGGAACATAGAATCTGAGAGCATATTACAGTACAACAGAGCCCATGACGCAGCCCCGCGGTATCTGCAACACCTGTTTTATGCATGCTTGCCTTCCATCCATTTATTATCCAAACTCATTACTGCATAGCGCATCCAGGATAAATAAACATTCTGATTCTGAATACATTAAATATTGTTATTATTTATAAAAGTTGTAGTTTTCACCCATGAAGTATGGGGCGCCACGGTGGTGAGATGTTAACTCTCTTGCCTGGTATGCAGGAGATCGTAGGTTCAATCCCGACCCTGACGACTGGATATTTGGAGTTTGCATGCTCTCCCCGTGGTCACGTGCAATTTTCTCCGGGTCTTTCAGTTTTTTCCCTGCACATTTAGAAACGTGCGCTTTGAGCATTTGGCTGCTATACATGTCCACATGATGAGCCACTTCGTTGACCTATCATTTGTGGCCAGGTTTCTACTGAAAAATAGCTATATAGCTCAGTGGTCCTTACATTTCGATTTAAAGCTTTCGTGACTGCAGGGATTCATATTCTTGGTTCTTTCGGTAAAGTCACGTAGAAGGGAAATAATAAAATAATATAAATATAAAACAATAAAAAAATAAAAATTCTCACGACGTTTCGACTGCAACACAAGCAATCCAAAGCATTAAAATCTTGCTGTGGATTTCACACCTGATGATGATTGCTTGTGTTGCAGTCGAAACGTCGTGAGAATTTTTTTATTGTTTTATATTTATATTATTTTATTATTTCCCTTCTACGTGACTTTACCGAAAGAACCAAGAATATGGTCCTTACATGTTAAAATAAACAAATAACATGTATTTATTTATTTTCCTGCGTTGATTGTCTTTTTTTGCATTTCATTGCACGTTGCATTATTGTTTTGCGGTAGAGCTATATAAGAAGGAATTGCTATTAAAGGCACAGATAGATCCTTAAAATGCATGGCTTCTCCCACTCCGCTCTCAGTGCACGTTAAACCCATTAACAGTGGCCAAGACACATTGACCCCACATTAGTGGAAATCATTAAAGCCCTAAGTATTGACCCCAGCTTGCTTCTACAAGGCTGTCAAAGTGCACCGAGAGCTCCGCTGTTATTGGAACCCTTTCGTTTTTTTTACATTTTATTATTTATACAACTGTCACTCTTGGATGTGTAATTGCAACAAAAAGGGATGAGGTCACGGTAAAAATTAGCGACACTGGCTTATGGCACATGTGTTCAGATCAAGATGGCACATACCACTTTAAGCATTGTGTAAATAAATATTTGGGAAGCAGTCGTGCTGCAATAGCTTACTCATTTGACTATGCAGCATCGAGGTTAACGACACTTGGGAGTCTTACGAACACATCAATTCTCGCACAAGAATGCATCCTAACTTACCCACCGAAACCCATGCATTTTAGTGGAATTCAGAGTGGACCTTTACCTCTTAATAACGCGAGCCTTGTGCTGTATTGCTACCGTTGTGGGTTTTTGAAGCAATAAATGGCAGAGGGCAAAATTACTAAATTTATCAGGAGTGGAAAAGTTGTAATATATTCCAACCCAGCTCAATATTGTTTGAGAAGACGAAACAATTTAATGCCTCCGAGGCAAAGCCAGGTTTGAGATATAGCCAGTCCTGGCCATCAGCCTCCAACACCAATCCGACTCCACTGCTGATGAATTTAACAGTTGGCCTCTAGCGAATAAGCTGAGGCAAATAAGATACTGCCTTCAGCCTCGTGACTACCCCCAACATTAAATCATGTAATCTATCAGTATGGAAAGCCCTCTGGGGCCGGAGGTGTTAATATTTGAAATGCAGACGCACCTATGTGTGTTCCAACTGTGTGTTTTGTGAAGGTTTTGTGGTTGAAGTTGTATTTTTGCACCTGTGCAATAGACTTGTATGGCAAAGCATACGATGGCATATGAACAAAAGTGATTTGTTGAAAACAAATTGACTTCCTTATTAATATGGTTATTTGCAGTAGCTCGCTTGTGCACGTGTGCCCGTACAAAAGAATATGTCGCTTGAAAAATGTGTTTCGCTGAGAGCTGGCATTGAAAAATGAGAACAAAACAAACTCCCACTGTGCGACTAATGGAAGGGGGGGGGGAACGCACACAAAAAAAAACACATGAAAAGGAAAATACATTATAAAACCAGCGTATCAAGCGGCCAAGCGTTATTTAGCAAACACGTGCTGAGGACGCGTGCGTGGAGGTCCTCCGCGTGGGGACACCGAACCTAACGTGGTTCCAATGCTGCAGGCTGCAGCGAGCTCGCCGTCTGCCGCTGCCCGTGATTGATTGGACACAGATGACCTTAATCCAGAGCTGCAGTGCAGATAAACCGCATCTGTCGACCAGATTAGGTTACGTCGCGCGAAAGCGCCACCGGCACCAATGTTCGGAGGCGGAAAAATTACGTCCGACGACTTTGCTGATCGGCTCACTGGCCATGCTTTAGATAAAACGTACGAGGTTTATATGCTTGAGCAGTATGATGTGAATGCAGCGGTGGTTGTAAAATGATCTTCTTTGTATTGGCCGCGCTGCGGCGGTCGGATGTTTTAACGAGGTACGGAGCGGTCTGTGAGTTTCGAGTCGGAAGCCCGTCGCCCTGATGTTTCAGTTCTCCCCGTGCCAGACGCTGTTTCATCTCGCCAGACCCGAGAATAATTCTCGCACTACTTTCAGTTGTGCGGCTTGTGATCCACACTACTCAGGCATCTTGCTCGCTTACGGTTCTTTGGTAAAACTTAAAAGGCATCTCCCGACCGAAGTCCATCTTTGGAAAACGATCACTGCGTGTGCGTGCCACAGACCAAAAAAAATGCTTCGACAGCGCTGTCATTACACTGTACTGTATTATGTCCTGTTCACTTGAGCCACATTAACGAGGCGTTAAGAGGAATTATAGGACAGCCAGCATTGTTTTCGCCAAACCTAAATCATGCCTCATCACTAGCACATCAGCTTCAATGGTAAACATAAGCCAAAAACGAAGATTTCTGTCGTTCATGTAAAAGTAATAATTGTTTCAACGTTTCATAAATATTCTAAATATTTTAGGTGGAACGTGTTTATTTTCCTTCTCATGGAAGCCCCCACACGGTAGCCCTGCAGGTGGTGTGGTTTTATGGCGGGGCGGGTGGAATGGTGAATGTCACCGCAACAATTTTTGATCTGAAAATGCAATCCCTGGTGAGAATGGGATGCTGGATCATCAACGATTGACCCTGGAGCTGCTACTGCTGCTGCTTCCCGTCACGTTTCGTCAAACGTTTCGCGAGATGCTGAACGAACAAAACGCTCGTGTCCATTCGCACTAGCTCAGTTGCGTGTCTTTTGTCCGATGTGCGCAGCGTGTGCACCGCGCACGTGCGCATAAGTGCCGTGGGAGCAGTGCCCAGTGCACGTTGGTCGCCAAGTGTCCACGTCCGACCGTGCGCGCGAAGAAAGCGCCGCAGATCAATCCTCGATGCTTCACGAGCCTCCGTTTTGGTTTGCTGTAATTAATGTCCCCTAGTGTGCGTTAATGATGTTTGTTTCTATATTTTTTTATTGTGAATGTGTAGTTAAGATTAATAAAGTGGTTATGCTAATGCTTTGGAAGTTTGAAGAATGGTTTTGTGAAACTGAAACTTTGCGGAACGTATTACTGCATTTCTTTTTTTACGCTTTACTTTAAACGCTGTGATGCCAATGTTGTATGTTGAACTTCTTTCACACCGTACGTAGCCAACCGTGCTAATCGGAGATGCGTGCTAATGTTATGGTCTACTCTCTCAACCCACAATAGCAGTCGTACTTAATAAGATGTGCTGTATTGTCCAAGTTGTTAAAACTTCATACCAGTGCTTGGCAGGATGTGGAATTTACGAAAGTTTTACGGTAAGTTCATCCCATTTGACTGGACAGCAGATGGGTGGGTACCTCTAATTGTGCGAGAAGCAGCCACACTTTTACGATAAAAGCATCACGTTCCTTGCTTTATATTAGTGTGTAATAGTGGGAACAAAGACGGGTCTCAGAATAGTTCCTATATTATCAAAAAACTAAATTCAAAAGTTTTGTCTGCACACTTCCATTGGGTGCACTACTTAGATTCGGAGAGATAAGCAGTATTTTCGCTTGCATCGTTAATATTGACTCGCATCGTGTGCAATTACCCTTAACAAATGGTACTTGATGGAGTAGCCTTGTCCCGGATTGTTAGTGTGATTATGCCACGCCAAACGAAGGGCACTTGAGTGATTCACGGCATGTGCATGTTTTATATAATAGCCGTCGGAATGCTTACACTTCCTTGACGCACCGTTGACTTCGGCGCCCTTATATGGTATCG